TACGAAAGTAAACGTAACCACCACATGCGTTCCACAGTATTGTGACACACTTTTTTTGGACAAGGGCAATACTCGTGTAGTAGGCGATTATGTTCACGTATAAAATGACCCCTTGAATTAACTTCTCTCGCAAACGATTTTCAGAAGATCTTTAACTGCCCGCCCCGTTAAGATGGTGTAAATTGTACTCATAACAGGCGGATTAATTATTGTTCGAATAAAGCACAAATATGTGCCCGACGGTGTAAATAAACGCGACCTGCACAATAAATCCTTTACGATTGTTGGAATTTATATGATAAACTAAATCTTACAGTTACCGTTCAAAATATCGCCACACCGATATTTAGAAAACATTTAGAAAATATCCAATCACTCTGAAGGCAAACAATAAAAAACGAGTACATTTCATATGAACCAAACGTCAGTTTAAGTGTCATTTATATAAACGCGTGCACGATCAACTCATAAAAAAATGATTCCCTTAATATTTCTCACCAATCGATTTCGTGTCACTCGCGGTCATTTCGAATTTCGGGAACTAATATCTAACAGACATTATGTAAGTACAGAAAAACAAAGAACAAGCGAGGCGAAAAAAAGTCGTAAATTGCTTCGGTAGACTTATCTTTTTTCTTTATAAAATTAAAACCGATCGCCCTCGTTAAGATTATTGTTTTTCCATTCGCCCTCCGTACCGAATCAAATAATCCCGTTAAGAAGTCCGCCCCGTCTTGTTCCGTTTAGATTACTTAGTTTAATGAACTCGCGGGTATAATGCACTGAGCCGGTTGTATATGATTCGACGGAGCAGCTGTTATGACTGACTTCAAACGAAAAATCGTAAAAAACTATAAATTATCCACTGTCGTCGTTGACTTTTGATTGTACATACAAAATTATTATTGTGATATACTGTATCACTTTATCGTTGTACACATCTCGTGCAGTTTAAATGAATAAAATAAAAGGGGAGCGATGGGGACGCGCGCCTGTGTTATTGAATCAAATATCATTGACAGTAAAAAAAAAAAAACAATGCGTTTATAACGACATTAAGTCTAGTTCCGCTCATACAGAAACGTTTACCGAGTTCGGTACGAAATAATTCCTAGTCACGCACGGCCGTCTTGAAAACCAAAACAAAGTGCTCGGGCGAACAGTTATTAAAGTACAATTATACGATAAAAAAAAAATTTTAAATAGTTAAACAGTACGGCTGTTATAACTGGCTGAAAATTGGAGTTAAACGAGTAAAGTTTCTTAAAAATGAACACGCCACACGTCGAGTGCAAACGTTTAAAATTAACGATATGGACAAAGTACACATCGAGAACAGTTGTTATGATAAAAAAAATCTCGAGAAATTAATACGGGCGGATATTTTTGTAAAATTTTAAACAAATACCGTACGCTTAACGAAACACTTACCAGAGATGACATCGTCGGATAGTGTTTTTTTTTTTTCCTTAAAAAAGGTACAGAAGCAACACGATCATATTTTACATATCGTACATTTCGTATGTAAATTAAATTTATTTTTCCACTATTCTCACTGCTCGTCGTCCGGCCGTTTTTTAGATGGATATTTAAATACCAGATAACATTACCTGGTCTACTGTGCACGACATACGACAGCAGTGCGCCCGCTATACACGTGTCGTGTGGACGTTTAAAATCCCATCAGCCCATTATTGTTGTATTGTTACGAATCGATAAAAACAACAGCGTAGTCTCCGGAGCGCGGCCTAAACAACACGGAAAACAAACTTTCAGCCCCGTGCCCCTGAGCGGTTCAGCGTGAACAACGGCCGCCTACCCCTCCAGCCCAATAAGTAACAGAACGACCGCGACGGCCGGCCGTACTCAAACTCCGTGTCTAACTCTTTGGCTCCGTTTTTTCGTCAGCCCGACATTTCAATTGGCCCCGCGGCAATGTCGCACCTGTTAGGGTTCTCACGTGCTCCAGAATACAAAGCGTACACCAGTCCACCGCCGCTGTGCGAGCAAGCGTTTGTTTACATACATTTCGCCGATGTAAACAATAAAGTGCTACACGCGTATATTGATTTACATGTGTATGTATTAAGTTATTACGACGGAAAGCGTTTAAAGTGCGATAAACGGCGCCGGGGGCGACGGCAAATGTGTTTTGCATTAAAGCGCGACACGTCGTGAGACATTTGTGACCCGCGACAACCGTTTTCATTTGGCTCTCGCCGTGTCACGGCCATCGTAACAATTGAACTACTTTTTTATTTGACAACCTAATAAACGCGCAGTTTCGTCTGCGCTCGTTATTCAAATACTGTTCACACAAAACGATGCGCAGACAGACAGCCGAGCGGCTTTAACGGGCAAACCGCAATGGTCGTAAATTTTCGGTCTTTGTTAATTTTTTTTCTTCTCGTTATTACGACGATTTTATATTTGAAAAAAAAACCCAACACTCCGGCCGAATATGTAGATGATGTTTTTTCGGCGGCCGAGCAGTTATTTTACATTGTGATTATTACATTTTATGACGTCCCCTGCACATGGTCGGCACATGACGAGCTCGTTAAACGAACCAAACTCGTCCATAAATCGCCAACGGGTCGTCGACAGTGCACGACATCGGTGAGCTCTTAACGAGTTCAATGTAAGTGTGTAATGCAAAGTAACTCGATCCTCTGCCAATCTCCGCCCGAGCGGCAAACTACGGAGGGGAACGTCCAAATGAATTTTTTTTCCGCCCAAAATCTAGATCGTATTAGAAGTATTTGTAGACTACTTTCGGTACTAGATGATAACGTTACCCGAGTGTGAGGGCAGCACCGTATCATGTTCTAACCAACAACGTTATCGCACACAATCGCATAGCGAAAACCACCACAGACGACCTTAGGAATGTCAGTTTCTGCGGACAGTTACCGGTTTTATTTTTAATAACTTACGGTGAATAATTGAACACGGCCCAAATTAGTTTTTCGGCAAAAATCAGTAATTTATATTACTAGTATGCCGTTTTTTGTCCAAATTAACATGTCCAGTTGAAAATACTAGTTTAAATATCAAATTTTTAATAATCTGTTAAATTTTTAGCGCCTAAATGGAAATCGGTAAAAGTCATTTTTATACTTCTACGGTCCGAGGCCCACCTGCAGCGACTGAGAATTACCGTGAAAAACGTACAAAAAAATACATTAATCCTTCTACCAATTTCGAAAACGATTTTCAACTGTTGACCAGAAGTACGGACAATTATAAAATAAAACATAAAACATTGACCGCGTCCAATTCATGTAAATCAAATAATACAATAGTCCTAGGGCGAATAATATACGTGCCGTTAAAAAAATTATTTTAAACGTACTTAACTGTGGGTAACTACTACTACCATAGATACTTTGGCCCACATTCTTTCATTACTTGAAATACTCGCTGTTTGTTTTTTCATCAGCTTCTCGGTCGCCGACATACGGAAAAAATTATTTTATTTCATTATAAACGTACTAAAACTACGATGAAAAAGACAAGACGATCAATATCAAAATAAAAAAAATAATTTGTTTATACTTTCATAACTGTTTGAAAATACCTCTTGGATAACTCTTCATTATTTTTTCAGTCTAACGAATCTCACACGTACTTTTTTAATCGTTTTAGCCGGCTAGTGTTATAATTTAATGTATAATATCATATATATTTCGATGACCGGTTCAATTATAGTATGACACTTTTAACACATGAATTAGACAATCAGATATGACGCCGATGCATATAATATTTTTTATTGTACGTCCCACTGAGCAAATTTATGAATATGCTGAACACTTGTATTATTTTATACCCTACATACTTACTAAATTGTTTTCACTATAATTATTATTTTTTATTTCAAATGGTTTTTACAGATGTTCTGTACGCCGTAAGTGGTTCCGTGGTTCAAAATCCAATATAAATATTGCATAAAAACATAATGCCTTGTGCATGTAAGTCGTTGTAGAAATAATTATAATTGAAAACGCATTTTTGGGGACAGACGTATAACAAAACCTTAAAGGGGAAGCACAAGGGTTAAAACCCTTTATTATAGTTCTGATACACAAAACTCGCACGGGGGTTGCTTTAAGTCCCGCGTGTGTTTGTATGGAACAGCAAAATTATTGTGTCGAGACCACCGCCGTAAATACACACTCACTTTTGTTGACTGACAGCCTTTGCAGGCAGTGTGTGTTGGATACGAATGAGACAGACGGCTCGGTTTCGACAAACGAAAAAAAAACAACAAAAAACTACATGTTTTATTAATGCATCCACACACATAGATATACTTTTTTCAATCCGGGAGATTTTCGTGAAATATTATTTGATTTAGGCAGTTGAAGGTGAATCGCGATGGTATAAAACTTTATAAAAATAAATACAGCTACTTTTTGAAATAAAAAATAAATTATTTATTTATAACATCGCGGTACAATAATATCATACAGTCTGTACAACAATTTAATTCAGTTTTATACACATAAATTATATAGTATTTACATAAATATTATATTACACAATAATATAAGTCCTTAATAATACAATAATAATAAAATAGAATCGAAGTTGACAAATATTTTGAATAAAAAAAGACATAAAAAATCGTGGTTAATAATAAAAAAATATCATACAGTCTTCGATCAGGTGGTGAAATAAATTCTCCTCACCCCTCTATAATATATTTATTACTTATTGACAACAGACCGGGTCTTACCGAATGGAATTTGCCCTGTTACTACACTCAACCTGAATTGCAATTAAAAAAACCCTCCCGCGAGCATGTAAAATTCTTTTTATTATTTTCTTTTTACTTAAAAAAAGAAAACATGTATTATGCGTTATACGGATTCTATTTTTACGTTGGAGCATGTAAACGTAAATATTTTGAAATTAATTTTTAACGAGAATAAAATTATTATTTTGACTTTATATGATTATTTTGCCGAATGAAGAAATGTGTGTTTGCGTGTGCATTTTTTTTTTTTTTTGTACACAATATTTATTCCGCGTGTACGTTATTATTTCTTAAAACTGAAAAAGTAACGTTATATTATCTTACCGAACAAAAAAAGCCGAATCCATTTCAGATAACGCAACGGAATACACTAAGTGGTAATCCGTGTACCGAATAAAAGAAATAGGTGTATAAGTATACACATATTTTATTTACTCCTTTTTTTTTTTTTAGTTCGTTCTTTTTTTTTTTGTATCTCACTCATTTCTCTGTCTTTCGAGTTGTACACGTTAGCGCTCTCGGACACAGCCGAATAATAAAATCAGACTAAACGTTCTAGGAGAGTGCAGTAATAGGGAGAGATATAATAAAATATATTACACGGCCAGAGCCTAGAACCGGTATTATTATTATACGGTGTATGCGAAGAGGTAAAAAAAACACAAACACCCACGGAGGTTTTTAATTATCCCACATCATGTGTCATAAATTTAAAGTAATATTTTACTATTATTGCCCTGCGTCACGTAAAAAAATGAAAATGAAATAATAACGAAATATATGTCATTTAGTTTTCATAAATTATAGAAATCAGTTTGGGGTAAAACAACAGCGGTATGAAGACTAAATCAGTCTAGCCTTAAATCAAGGCTTTACAATTTTTTATTTTTTTTTTTTTTTAATGAATGTAACACACAAAATTTGGTTGCTCAAAAAAAAAATTATTATAATATATAACTATTATTATTAATATTTTATCTTACTTTGAGCTGACTAGAAAAATGGCGTTAAATTCTTAATAGTTAGTACGAACCGTTTTTATACTTAACAATTTTTCATATATTTAATATTACATATCATAGTTCGTCTACAATCACATTTACACGTAAACGGGACTCGGGCCCGTTAGGAGAGTTAAACAAACAAAAAAAGGACATGAAAGTTACAAAGGGAATTAACCGCAGTGTGCGTTTCGCCAGACACGCACACTTAGGAACTCGATTAATCTAGATTATACAAAGTCGTGCATAATATAACATTATCACATATTGATGAGCACACGTACTTGCATTAATTAAGTGTTTTTCTTTTTGTATGAAAAAAAAAAAACCCAACACGTTTTTTTTAAATAGAAATTGACCCGATCGGTTTTATTCTATCAAAAATAAGTATATTTTACTTTACACGAGATAAGCCTGTACAGTGTTCTGCTGGTGTTGTTGATGGTGTTTGGCTGACCTCCGACTGTTGGTGCGCTCGAACGGTATCCTACTGGGTGATTGATGGACCGATGGAGGTGGCGTGTCGATTGCCGAGTATATGTGTTCGGCAGACGACGGCCGGTCCTCGCCGCCTAATTTGGGTGACGGAGTGGCCGTCGTCGCGGTCGAGTAGTTGGAATCCTCGTGCCGGTGTTGCGGCCTGGGTAACGAGCTAGGACTGTGGTGATGATGCCGGTGATGTGGCGGCTTGTCTTGAGGAGACGGTTGTCGCCTGTGCGCCGGTACCACCGGAGTCCTAGTGTCAATAGTATAATTGTTTATATTATTGCGGTAATTGCACACTTTATGGTGATGGTGATTGTTATTGTGGTGATTGTTGCTGGGCATCAAGTACCGCAGTCGTTCCCAGAACCGTTTTTCGCCCCAACGAACTTTCGAGGCGATTTTTAAGTACGGCCTTAGTTCCGGATCAGCGTCCGCTTCGGCCGCGATACTGTTCTCTTCGATTAGCACCAATTTATACACTTTTCCCTTGAGCGCCTCGTGTAGGGCCGATCGGAATTCGTACCTGGACCATTCGGTTTGAATAAAGTTCCTGGACAGCACCACAATAACGCGGCGACTGGCTTCGGCCGCCTCGATGACCACCGGCGACGATCCTGCGTGGTACATGGACGTGATAGGCAAGTCCCTGTAGTGCAGGCATAGTTGATACGACGGGTTGCCGTGTTCGAGTTCGGCCACGACGGACTGCAACACGAATTCTTCGTCCTTGGGGCTGTACAGCACATAACCGTCGTAGAGCTTCTCGCGGTCTTCGTAAAAGTGTTTGTTACCGGAATGTTTGCAGCTGAACACGCGTATGCCGTATTTGGTGTACAGCCAAACTTTGATGTTTTCGCGAACAGCGAACAAAACAAGGGCGACGATGAAAACGATCAACAAGAACACCAGTAATGGCACGTAGCTGTTGGTCATCATGTTACGTAGCGCCCAACCGCCGGTGTAAAAGTCGCTACACGCCGTGTCGTTAAAATCGATTTCGCGACTCTGTCCGGGATCCGATTCGTCGGGCACACACGTAACATCCGAAACGTCGGTAATTTTAGGACCGTTTTCGTATATCCAATTGCGGAAAGGTTGGAGGAACTTGCAGCGGCACGACCATGGGTTTTTCCCAATGGTCAGTTGCACGAGGTACGGGTTGACGGAGAGCTGCCACACAGCAAAGCTCGTCAGCCGGTTACCGTGCAGTTTGAGGACTTCGAGATTCCGGAGTGGTGCGAACGTCATGTTGTTGACGTACACCAACCGATTGTTTTGCAAGTGTAACTGCCTGAGCTGATAAAGCTGCTCGAATTCGTAACCTTTCAGCTCGGTCAACATGTTGTCTTCTAAATGCAACACCTGGAGCGAACTCAGTCTGTTGAACGTGTGATTTTGCAGGGACTCGATTCTAGAGTTGTTTAAATACAATTGAACCATGTTTTTTCGGCCGATAAATATATGCCCTTGCAGCTGGCTGAAATTGTTGCCGTCCAAATACACGTGCGTGGCATCCATTGGGATTTTCGGCGGATTTGGGTTGTTTAGCTGGTACGAACAATCCACGATGTTGGTGCGCCACGTTTGATCGTGATAGCACGTACAGTTGCTCGGGCACGTCATTTCACAGTCGCAGGCATCGTACTCGCAGCATTTGCACACGGTGAAACAGTGAGTTTCGTATTTGCACAAAAATTGTGATGGATTAGCCGACAGGATGGGTACTATCTCCGAACCTCGACTATCGGTAGTCTTGCACACCACGTTGTCTAGGTCCATGACTTTAGGGTGTTGACGAAGCTGCGTCATATTGTTTATGGTCGGTAACCAGTCCATTGAACAGTCGCACTCGAATGGATTGCCGCCGATGTAAAATTCCGGCAAAGATCGGTTGATGNCACCGATGTAAAACTCCGGCAAAGATCGATTGATAGGCACGACGCCCAATCGAAGCGCGTTTACATCCAGTCGGGTCAATTCATTGGCGTACAAATCGACACGAACTAAATTTCTTTTTTTCAGAAAAGTGTTAGGCCTGATGTTTGTCAGGAAATTATTGTTGAGGAACAATACTTCAACGCTGTTGGGTATAGACCTATCGGAGATTTCGGCAATGTGGTTGTGACTAGCGTCGATGGTGTTTATGTTGAGTCTGTCCTTTAAATTGTAATAATCGCCTAATTCTTGTACATAGTTGTCATGCAAGTCCAGCCACTTAAGGTTAGCCGGCACCATGGCGTAGTCGAACCAAATTAAATTGTTTTTCGACAAGTTGATCCACTGCAAACTGGACAATGATTCGAACACGCCGTTGACATCGGATAAGTAATTGGCGTCCAACCGAATTGCTTGTATCTGCGTGTTTTGCGTAAACGTGCCACGTTCGATTGTGTAGATTTTGTTTTTCGATAAATTGAGCACTTGTAGGTTTGGCAAATTAGAGAACATGCCAATGGTCAAATTTCCGATGTTATTGTCGACCAGACGTAGACCGGTCAAAAGTTCCATGTTCTTAAACGAATTGTTATTGAAAACTGTGATTTGATTTTCCCCTAAATCCAGCGTTTTCAGGAATGACAATTCGTTTAACGCCGACGGCACTTGTTGAATAGCGTTGGAACTGAGATCCAGTTCTTTAAGAGCAGAACAATTCTTAAACGCCTGCTCGTCGATCGATACCAACAAGTTGTTGTTGATTGTCAGTTTTGATAAAACGTACAGACCATTGAACAGACGCGGCCCGATCGTGTGTAAACGATTTTCGGCCAAATTGAGCGTATGTAAATTGTACAAAGGCAAAAACGCGTTTTCTTCAATACTGCTAATGCTGTTGTTGCTCAAATCCAATATTTGCAAGAACACGAGGTCCTTGAAAAAATTCGATTTTATTCTGGTCAATCCGTTACGGGACAAGTCCAGAACGACCAAACGGATGAGACCCACGAACGGGCCGTCGTCAATCTGGCTGATTTTATTGTTGCTCAGGTTGATTATGACCATTTGTTCGAGCCGATGGAACAAACCGCGGGGCAACTCGTATAATCCATTGTTTTGTAAGTAAACTTCGCGCAAATCGCGGTTTTTCGAAAATAAGTTTTCTGGTAACGTTTCCAGTTTGTTAAATGACGCGTTGAACACTTTTAGCGACGTCAGCGTGGACAAACTGTCAGCGGATACTTCTGTGATGCTGTTGTGTTGTAAACATACAGTCTGCAGGCGCTTCATGGCAGAGATGGCGGTGCGTGCCGGCAGCGACTGCAAATTGTTCCACGACAAATTCAGCACCTTTAAGTCGGCGCCACCCGGACAGTCGGGCCCGGAGAAACCGAGTGCTGTCAGGTCGTCGATGCTGTTGTGCGACACGTTCAAGTTTTGAATGTTTTTCAACGCACAAAACGCGTCAGCGGGCACTTGGTAGATATTCGATTCGGACAAGTCTAGCGATTGAAGTTCGCCGAGTCTGTTGAAGCCGCCCTGGGCCACCATGAGGTTTTTGGTAGCTCCCCATTCCAGGTTACCCGTCTGCACGGATAGCTTCTTGAGTCCGCCGAGCCCGTCGAACGCGTCCGTCGGTATTTCCAACAATTTGCACTTGACCAAAGCGAGTTCTTCGAGCTGGTGCAAAGGACGGAACGCGCGAGGTGTCAGCGTACTCTCGAAAAACAACTTGTCACTACAGTCGATCGTCAGCCGGACGGTGCCCTCGGACTGAACGGCCGACAGGTTCGGGCTGTCAGCGGTCAGAGTCCGCACACGGCACTGTACCGACGTTTTAGCCGTGTCGTTGTTGTAAGGCGACCAAGTACACTGTTCCGCGCCGTCTAACTTAGCGGTCACTACAGCGAACAAGGCGACCGCCAATAAAAATTTCATTTTAAAAAACATTTTCGCGAAGTCGTCAAACGAATTACACACGCGACGAGTTTTCTTCAACGCCACAATAGTTCTTCATGTGTGTTCGTCAAAGAACCAAACAAACATACGACCCTAAAATTTGGGTCAACATATTTACAAAAATTACTAACAACACACTACGAATAATAAAAATCAAATTTATAAAACAATATCAATGTCCAAAAAAAAAAACCGTAACACTAAAGTCCGCGAACACTTTCACATAACTCGAGTGCGGACGAACTATCGCTGGCGACTTCACGGCGGTGACTGAATGTGAAAGGCACTGTGATACTGGCCGGCGGGCCAAGTGTTCCGTCCGTTGCTTCCTCCCGCCGATAGGTGGCAGCACGTGACGGCGTCTTCTCCTAGTCGGATCGCCCCTCTGCCGGCATGCACCCGGTTTTGGTTACCCTATGATTATATACCGCCGCCGCCGTTACCACCGCCACCACACGGCGTACGGTAGTCTGGACGGCCCAACGCTTTTCTCTTCGCTCGCCGCCCCCGCGTCTTTCGACGACCGGCAATCATTTCTACCTTTCCCGAATAATTACTCTCATCCTAATAATGTTTCCCTCCGTTTTGTTTACTTTTCAAAATAACATTTCCGTGCCCTTGCGGCAGGCATTTTGCCGCAAACAATCACGTTTTGGTGTTAACAATGACAAAATATTATTTCCCGAAAAAAGTGACGGTAACATTTCCAACTAAAAACTATTTGCTTAAATGTTTCATTAAATATTTACAACTCGTTATATTTTTTACTGATGTAAATCTAATAAAAGAATAGATATTCAATATTTTATACATTTTTAAATTACTTTTGACAACTACGATTTAAAAATACAAATATTTATTATTACATATGGCGCCATCTATTGGATACTTTGATAGTATTATCTTAATAAAAAATTGTGGATGTATTTACAAATAATTCACAATTTTCTAGTCTTATAAAATATTAGCAACAATGTTACTTGTAGTCTGTAATTAAAAAAAAAAAATTATGTTCGAGTATGCTAAAGTATTAGCATATTATTCGTTTATTTCATTCCTTTCGGGTATATAATTTATATCTAATAAAAAATATTTGAAATAAAATTTCAATTTGAAAATGTCTAACTAATTTTTTTTTTATTAAATTAAAAACAAAAACATTATAATGTGATAGACATTAAAGAAAAAAGTCAATATTTACAAAATAAATTTGCAAATATAATTTCTTTAATATTAATATATAAAAAGAAAACATTTATGATAACGATACTATAAATATTATGAGTATAATATATATTGCTATGGTAATAATTTTTATTACTATGTTATTATTATAGTAACGATTACTATTGTATATTTAATTTAATCGAGTTAGAATTTATTTAGGATAATATTAGTAATTAGTATTTTTTACCACTTATAACATTAATTTGAAATACTAAATGTGATACTTAATTGACTTTGCTTTCATTGAATTAACTGCAGCACTATTCGGCAACACATTGAAATTATTAAAAATCTCAATAACCATGTCGATTTGTAAAGATCTGAAGATATACTTTTTATTTCAGAAATCTCATACAATAGTGTGATGCACAATAATTACAGAATACGAGGGTTGTAATGAGAGAACAAGGTTACGGCAAATTTATTGTAATTTTCCTTATTTAAAATGAAAATCCTCTACATTTTTTCTTGTTATACGCTTAAGAATTCAGTGTTGGCATTACAAATACTATAAAGCTAATTACATTTTTTAATCGATTGTAAAGCACTTGTTCTTTATTAAAGGACAGTATCATTTTTGTTGTTTAGCCACAGTCAAATTTTTACCAAACACATAGCCCATCTTCAAGTTTTTATGTGTTGGGTTGTGTTAACTGTGAATACCTAAGGTGTCAAATGCACATTATAATTCGGAATGTAAAACGATATCAATACGAACTGGCGTTTATGTTGCTCAGGTAAGTCTCGTATGAAATTTTAAGTCTGATAATATAAATTGGCCTAACACCGTAAACGTTAAAACCATAAACGGTACGCTGAGAATGTGTATTGGAAAAAGAAAGGGATTATTATTTTTCCGGTCTACTGAACCATATTACACCCTACGCGTTTCTTAGGCGATCCTTTCCACGCCAACCTCTACATGTGAACCGTACACGTTCCTATTGTTGTTAAGGCCGTACAGGTATATATGTCGTTGTTATGTGATTGTTGTTGTCAGAAACCTCGGGATGAGATGTCAAAAAATTAAAACCCGCAGCGAGACCGAAGAGTGCCGACGCTGGGCAATCGTCAAAAAATAACCATAGGCGTGCGTCGTAATGAAATTTCGTACGAGGAGATTGCCGGGTTCATATGGGAGACGACCGAGATTAGTTTTTTTAATATATTTTATATCTATCAAACGCGTGTCACACATTTCGAACGGCTATCTGGTCCGAAATCTCTGTACGATCGTTTGAAAACATCTTCCGACGGCGGCCAGAGAAAAAAAAAATCATATTATAAGAATGCGTTCGAGGTGCGATAGCCACGACGGTCCGGTGGAGAGGTGCTCGTGATATCCGGGCGGAGGGGTGCGGGTTTATATTTTCGTGGCCGCCGGCTAATGAAGTCCATAAACGCCGTGGTGGCGAGAACGAGAAAGAGATAGGGCCGCCGACGTCCATGTGGAATTACAAAGCGTACGGGTAATAATATGATGTGTGTGTGTGTGTGTGTGTGCGTGTACTTACGTGGGAGGAGGAGGTGTCGGTGAAGACCGCGCGCAGGGGAAGCTAACGCGGTGTTACGGACCGCTATGTAGCCCCTTTTGAACCCGCGATAAATCTGAAGATGTGATCCTGTCGAACCTTTAGCCATAAATCATCCGCGCCACCAGTGCTGTCAGCCGGACACGACGAACCGTATGAACGTAAAAACCGAGATGTACGCATTCGTGCACACTTTGCGCCATAAAGTCCGCCGGTTACAACATTGTTCTCGGCAAATTAACTTTTACGACAATCGGCGTACTGTGTCGCGTCAACTATAAAAACACTTGTCGGTGGTCGGACGGGCGAATCTCGTGTTTGGTTTTCGTTTCTGCCATTGAACAACTAAATAAAACAACCCGCCTATGAAGTGATAACATCAGGAACTCCTGTTCACCAGCGTCGACTACCGATAAACACTACTTCCGATCGTTAAGCGCATACTTCTAAAACAGAATACGCGGCGCAGGGCGTCACTAATTATTGTACGCGAAAAAACTGTATGACGTTTCCAAAGATTTACGATGATAATATTCACGAAATTAATTACCTTAACGACTAGTATTCCGATTAAATTTATCTTCGACGTGCAATTAAAACGCTCGATGACTGTACACTTAATTTTTAAACAATGCGCGTACTTGAAAAAAATTTCCGAACGATTATAATTTAAACGTGTGCCGGCTATTACACATCGAAGAAAAAACAATAACAACTGCAGTCAAAAAATAATTTCAATGAATTTCAATGAAGTATAAATCAAGTTTACCTTTTATGTTTATTACCTGAAAAAATAACTTCATTTATTTTCCCTCCGGGTCATTTAATATTTTGCAGACGAAACAATCTTTTACAAACGACCCTCACGAAAATCAATTAAAATCTTAAATTGTATAACTTGAGTTTATAGCTAGTTTAATAATAATTTGTATAACGTTTTTACCGACTGTCTTACCCTTGTTATAATTTATTAGTTTTGCAGCTTTTGTTGAATTATTTCGGATTTTTATTTTTCAATTATAATATAATTATGGTAAAACATGATAAATGAAGGCCTTTTTTTTTTATTTTTGGTTATTAAAACTTATTCATAACAACAACCATTTATTTCATAAACAAACAAACATACAATTACGAATTTTCCAAGTCCTTTATGTTTATAAGATTTTATTATTCAAGTGCAACTCTAACCCGTCTGAAATAAATTCCTATAAACAATACAAACAAAATTAATTCGTGTGGTTATCACCGACATGTTTTGCCGCGCCTTATAAATTGAAAATCGATAATATTTTTTACATCAACACTAATTACAGCAGCAAAAATATATTCTCAGAAGAAAATTCTCGATCCGAGATTAATTTTCAAATAAAGATGAACTTATGGTGGTGAATAGTTGGAGAGTACTACTCAGTCGTTGTTGAGAGAAGAAGACACGTAACTTCGTGTAGCGTTTCCTATACGCACATACAAATAGATGGCGGCCGCTGATGATGAAAAATTACTTTTTCTAATGGTTCTACTTGTTACAAGTCAGTAATATATGTGATTGTCACGGTCAAGACTCGTGTTCGGAAACGTGTTATACAGATGGCTTCGAGTGTCTTCTATGGATCAATGACGTTGCTGTTTATTACTGTATACTATATGATTGTTTAGTATACTTGTAGCGCCACCTAGTACTTGACGAACACAATAACAAAGAAAGGACCTATGGGTCAAAATAAAAAGTCTATCGTACATTCTCAATAAAATACTCTCTAGGTCAATAGGTACGTCTGAACGTAAATAGTTATCTTGAATAATTTATCACTTTGCTGACTTAAGAATTTGTTCTAATTCTCACATTGATATTTCTAAGACCATATTGATCAACTGCGTCTATGAAAATATACCTCTCGAACAATAATAATAATTACTTATAAACAAATACGTAACGTAGAAAAAGTTTAGGAAGTAATGTTGTCGTTTGCAAGACAACCATTCTGAGGTAATTTCCAATAAAAATGTATAATTCTACAACCGAGTAAATATTCTAAGTATATAATTACATGATAAATTACTAATCCGAAGTTTATGCTTAAAACTTAAATATTATAAAATTTATAAATCATAGTTTAATTTTAAACAATTTATAGATAAAAAAAAATATTTTGTCTAATTTATGTTGTACGATTTAAACTAGCTAAATTTTACACACAAATAATTCATTTTCAACAATTCAATGTTAAAGAGATGTGTTTTACAAAAATTAGTAAAAAAAAAGACTAAAAAATTTTGCAATTTTTTTCGTTGATAAGCCTTTTGAAAAAATTTATCATTTTTTCAGCATACTATTAAATTGTACATTGAATCTTGTCCTTTTTATAAACAGAAACAATTTTTTTCTCGCCTTCAAATTTAAAACTAAAATATATTTTTAATATAGTAAAAAAATTTATTAGGAATAATGAGATTTAGTTGCCAATAATGGATAACAATAAATATATTACAAAACGAATAAAATTCAAAAATCTTAAAAGAA